GTGAAAGAATAGACCAATTGATGCAGGAAATTTTTCGTTGAATCATTTCTTGCAGCTTGTTGGTCTGAAATTATTTAACCAGTGTTTTAGTTTTTTAGCCTGTTAGGACTGTCCTCAATCCCAAGACACTTGGCAGTTGGCAGAATCTCTGCTTGTTCCTTCCTTGGCCCATTCCATTATTGTCCTCTCATTCTGCATGTAAATCATGGCTATCTTCTGTCTCCTAATTTGCTTGATTATGAGTAATGTTGGCTGCAAACAGAATGCTATTCTTTGAGATTGGTTGTCGTGGATAGTATGAAGTTTAAGCGAGGTCAGTTGAAGGAATGTAAAATATCAGTATTTATTGTGCACAACGGTGTTGCACACATATATAATTTGACAATACCTACCAAAATGAACACTAAGCAAGATCATTTTTTCATTAGAAACCAAAAAAAAAAGGAAACAAAAGTAACTGTTTTCAACATAAATCATCTCAATAATAAATGAGTTAGGTATGAAAGTAGGTTTTTCGTGCTAAGTCTTGTGTCAGCATGTTTTTTGTTTAAAATAGTTTTCCTTTTCCGGCCTGCAAGGAGTCTAGAGGATAAAAGGGGACACCTATAATGTACTTGATAAAAGAAGATATGTTAGTATCATGGTTTTGGAATGCAAATGAGGCAAATAGAATCAAGGTTTTAAATGTCGGCCGACATGTCCGACATGTCGGTTTGAGGGCTTGAGCGACATGACATGGGTGTTTTTAACTCGTATATCTTCAGGGCCAAATCAGAAATATTGGGGCCATATTGGGCATATCGACGATTTTCCCGCATTGAAAAACCAGCCGATATGGCCTTTTTTTTAGATCTGGGCATATCGACGATTTTCCCGCATTGAAAAACCAGCCGATATGGCCTTTTTTTTAGATCTATTTTTTGTTATCGGGTTTGGGTTTAGTGATAAAAACCCAAACCCGTTTGATCTGTTCTTATGTTTAAGGGTTTCTTATGAACCCAATAGAAAGAAAAGAGAAAAATTAGGGCTACAACGGACTTGAGAACCGATCACTCCTTTTATGAACAATGACGCCCTTTCCTTACCTCCATCTCGGACCCTCGTCGTCCATCTCCCGTTGCGCTCTAAAATCTGAACCCCAACCCAACCCGAGGGCAGCAAGGTATCTCGTCATCGGGATAAAGGGAAGAAGGTGGTCGGTGACTCATCCGAAGGACCCCAAGCAGACAAAGAAGAAGAAGAAGACCCCGGCACTACCTCCCTACGACGTCCCGTCACTGGCACTGCCTCCATGCAACGTTGGAATCCACCCATCGCCAGCGCTGCCTCTAGAATTTATAAAGTATGCTTATATTGAATTTAGGAATGATTAGATTACATTTAGGATATGATATTATACATATGCGCACCACCCGATATGGCAATCCGATATTTAGTCCATGTCCCCCGATATATCCCTGATTTTTGCTACCCGACATGGATTTCAGCCGTCCGACATGAACCCGACATCCGACATTTAAAACCTTGAATAGAATCATATCAAGTAGTTTATTCCTGTGCTAAATCAAGTTTCAGCAATCAACATGTTTTGGGCTTCTTTATAAGTTGGCATATATCCTGAAAGCTACACCATATACATGTTCCGTTATGAGATCAATTAGAACCAAGATTGTGGATGAGTTAAGACTCATAAAGTTCCACAAAGATCCAATAATCCATTTTGTCCATAAAGAACCATTAAATTCTTATAGAGCAAAACTTTCCCATAAAATGATATTTTATGCTGTTATAGAAAAGTTTCATTATAGATAACTTTTCTTTGATAGAACTTCATGCCAATGTTATTAATTTTTTAGATAATAACATATGATTTACCTTCTAGTAGTTCTCTTTCTTTTTTTATGTATGTTCATGCACTGTTATAAATAACGGTAAATAACACCGTAATAGCGGCACTAATAGCGCTAATGGCCCTTTCCCGCTACGCTATCGCCCAATAACGGTAACATGCTGCGGAATATGCGTTTTCTGCTCGCATAAGTGGCCAATACCGCGTCATAGCAGTGAATAATGAGCGATTATGGGCAAAATTCTCTTTTTGACCCCTATTTAAAAGCGGATTGAGATTTATTTTTCTTAAAATTAACCCTGATCCGTAACCAGTGTATCCTGTCGCCTCTTGCCCCATTTTCTCCCACGATTTCCAGCGTATTCTCATAGCCTCCCACAACCTCCGGTACCTACTTTAGCACTTCCTCTCACCTCCGCTCGCCATGAGCTCCTTCTACTGTAATCCCCTCACATCTCAGCTCATCTTGTCAAAGACGACTCCTCTCTGACTTCTCCTCTAGTCGTCTTCAATATAATGTGACAATTACGTGTTTATTCATGTTTAGGATCTTTTTAGATTATCAAATATGCACTTCTAGATTTTCTAGATTTTTCTTTAATTTTCCTTTTTTTTAGTATTTGTACATATCTAAATTAGACTACTGTTTGATTTTGCGCTTTTTACTGCTATTTTGTTACAATAGCCCCAAATAGCTTTAGTGATGCCTCACCGCTACGTGACGCTATCCACTATCGATAACCTTGTGTGCATGCATACATTCATGTACATAAAAGTTTTGCTCCAGAATGTTACCAACGAACTTACAACTTATTGCAGGATACATTGGTGACGAGGAAGCAACCTCTGCAATTTTGAACTCTGAGGGATGGTTAAAAACTGGTGATCTCTGTTATATTGACAACAATGGGTTCCTCTTTGTTGTTGATAGGCTAAAAGAGCTAATAAAATACAAGGGATACCAGGTGATTATTGCTTTTGCCTTCTTTCTGGCAAAGATTTTTGATGAATACGAGTTTCAGTACATTATTGAACATTATCTTTACGATCTTTTTGCCTCGTTAGTGTTTTGCATGTGCCGTGAATACGGATAGATGTGTGTATGCGAAGTAAGCATGGTACAAAGAAATAGTTTGGGGGTGTTGTTAAATTCTGGGTTTTTTTTGGTGTACAATAATAGCATGCTGTAACTTAGGCTTGTTAAGGACATTTCTAGGTTCTCATAACATTTACTAGTTCATTGAGAGGGTGCAGTTATTTTATGTATTCGAAAAGTCAGGTTTCTAGAAATGCAATTATTTTATGCATATAGCATTAGTGTTCTACATGTAAACTCTAGTCAGGAATTTAGTAATATGGATTGATTAATTGTGATAATTTGCAATTATATAAATCTGGGAGGGGAAAAAATGGGACGGATGCCCATTAGAATGGAAAGAACAGCATTCAAGATGTGTGAATATACAACATGACAAGGTGTGCAAATAAAAATCCGGATAAATTTTTTTTAGTTACATACAAATATTGATATAATGAAAGGTATCAATATAACTATGAATTTTCATGATTTTTGGTCAAAAATGCTTAAGTGAGTTAATAAGGGTTATTATATATTAGAGGACCTCTTACACGTATCCCATTTGGAATTAACATGCATTTTTACGTATTTTCCTATGCACGATGCTTCATTAGGGAATTTGAGATTCTAGAGGCGACTCTACACATTCTAGAGATGGCACCCACCACATCCCTGCGCAGTGTGACACTTTGATATGGGGTTTGGTTCCATGTAACACTCACTTACCTCTGCTGTGCGGCTCTGATACAACTTATCATGTACTGATCATGTATTTTCCTGGAGGTCACTCATCCTTGAATTGCTTTTGCTCGGGGATGCTTAACTACAAAGTCTTTCATGATTGAACCTCGGTATAAAATGAGCTGATCTTCCTAAGGATTTGTGGTAAGCTTGTAAAGTGAGCCACAAGTGAGCGGGAGAGTGCTTGATGATGAAGGGCTTGTATCAATCATGCATTGCTTCCAGATAGAAAATTACTAGTAAAAAAATGCCAGGTTATTTGTTTCCTCAGATGTGCAAACTACATTGCACAGGCAAATTTAATTTATTCACATAATAGAGCAGAAGCCCGTTCAATGGCACTGTAAAACTGGCAAAAAATTCCATGTTACTTTGTAGCATAATTATTTGTGGAAGATCTTCAGAAGAATGATGTCTGGTGATCCACATAAGTAGTATAGTGACTTCCAATTTCCACATATTGAAAGTATGAAATTAGATAAACAAAAAAGTGAAAAAAGATGGTTATAACTTTTAAATAAAGATATTCCATGCACAAATCACTTATATCACAAGATGCGAGTGTTTTCGTTTTCCCTCTAATTAAGGTCTAGTTTGTTGTTTTTTCTATACAATCAGGAATGGTTATTCTGCTTGCATAGTTACATTATATGATCAAATTCATTAATCACACTTTTTCCTCCTTTTATTCTACAGGTTCCCCCGGCTGAATTAGAACACTTGCTTCAAATGCATAATGATATCATTGAAGCTGCTGTTATACCGTGAGTACCCAATAATCCTAAAAAGAATGAGCAAAGGAAAGTATAAAAGTAAAATTTTTACTTGTGCATCCTACTTAAAGCTTGTTTATGGCAGATACCCAGACGACGAAGCAGGGGAAGTTCCAATGGCCTTTATTGTAAGAAAGCCGAATAGCACCCTTCAGGAGGCTGAGATCATGGAACTTGTGGCCAAACAGGCAAATTCTTAGCCTCTTATCTCTGCAACCCTCTGTATTGGCTTTGTTTTTCTTCGTCAAAAATACATCTAGGTTTTACTGTGCAATATACGGATTTGATGGTTATGAGCTGACAACTTATTTTCTTAAATGATCTACCAAGAGATAATATGCGTTGAGAGACACCCATCTGATGGGACTAGTAGGGTCCGCCTCACCACATGACTCTTCTCTCGGTAGTGCATTTACTAAAATGAGTTTCTGTCGCATACATGTGTGCATCAGTGGGTAGGTGAGGATATATGAGATTTTGCCATCCAAATTTTTTAACCATCGAATGGACATCATAAATCAAGATCTTTCAACTCTCATGCCCTCATTAATTTATGACAACTCGTCATCTATTAAGTTCATCCAATGGCTAAAAAATTAGAT